GTCGTTTAAATAATGTCTGATTAAAGCAAAATTTTTTAGCATATATTTATGCTCAAGACATATAATTTGCCTGAACTAGCTCTTGGCCAAAGTTTCGTTTTCGTTGTCGCTAAAATCTACCTGAGCAGGATGGCTGTTGTAACGCTAGTGACTCTCGATAGATTTGTATCATTCTCCTGCTTTGATTTTTCATTTTCTATATATGGCACGCCTTGTGCGTATTGAATAAATAGATAAATAATGTATTTTGAATATTCAGTTTCAGGAAATACCTCCATCTTAACGACGGCTTCCTCCTCGTCTCTGTCGATAACGGCAGATGTTCAGACGGGATGAAGACGATTCGTCAAGACACTACACTCAAGAAGGGTAAGCGATGTCCTGAATCCATTTTGTGGTAGTTTTACGAAGGCACCAAGAGGGCAAGATCTTACAAACACTCATTTTCGTGTGTTCCACAAAAACAATCATTCTTGCGGCTATCGATGGCATGTTTGGCCGATGTGTGAGAACCCTTCGTTCTTATAATAGTGCGGATTTGCTCCAGCTGTTGGTGTACTTGGGTAGAATATCGAAACTTACAATTTTTAAGATCTTGATAATTCTTTGGGGTGATCAAAGAAAACAAAGGTGTCTGTACGAACGAAGGTACTACGAAAGTCAAGGGGTATAGTTTACACAGTTTATATTGGAAACTGATGGCAGTGATCGAAGAAGGCAAGGGCTTTTCGCATAGAAGATTATGAGGTGCTGTGTGATAAGCTTGGAGAGATTCTTACCACGTTGACGACCGCGTGCATACGCGCGTATGCACGAGTCAATGTGACAAAGGTGGGAGTGTTGCCCAAAATGGCTCGACCGCGACGTGTTAAAATTTGAAGGGACTTATTGTTAGTAAGATCTTTAACAAATTGGCAGTTGCTTTAACGATCAATTTTCGTCCGAAACCATATACCCATCAAAACTCTACTAAATGTTCCTATTTTATAAAACATAAATCCCAGTGTTATCCTCCAAGTGCTCAATTACTCGATTATATTTCCAAAGCAGTAACCCTAACCTTTCCGAAAATATCAAAAGTTTCTAATGTCTCGCTTGTTCATTAGTTTTGCTAAACATTGTGTGATCTAATGTAACCATATCAACTTAGATTCTCTAATAACGTCTCCTTATTTGCCTTTACTCACACCGTAGACATAATATCACGCCATAGCCATAATAATACTCACACACATTCTCGGTGACTAGCATAGCAATATGCCTCACAAATTGGCTGAGTGCTTCTCATAACAGAAAGCACGAAGTTTACAAGAAATATGCCATAAACTGCCTACTATAGCGCCTCAAACTTTCCTTGCTTTTTGAATAATCTTGTTTTATGAGCAGAAATCTAAGCAAATAATTTTCATTATCTCTTTTTTCGCCGCTAAGCGCTCCTTGTTTGCGCATTACTTGGTAAAGTGTAGCTGTCCAAATCACCTGATTGGACGCACATGAGTTGTTAAGCCAGAATCTCCCTTTGTATAATGGGCCCGGCTGACAGAAAGCTACAATTTTCACTCGCTCAAAAACTTTAGAGTCGATCTTCCATTCGGACGCTTATAGACTGCATACAAGATTAAACTTGTTATACAACTCGCCATAATCCTTACCTTTATCGCACTTGCAGCTCTTTATGAAAATTTTGGTAGGTCGAGTGCACGAAATTGCCCAGGTCGCTGTAGTGAACACACGCGAGCGTGCCTGCAACGCGGCTGCCGAGTAAGGGCGCATCCTCCATGCGCCCGAATGCCAATGTTAGCCCGCAAGAGACCCGCCCGCGGGCTTCAGCCCGGTCGATTCCTTGCAGTCAACTATATATCCCATCAGCGTAGTAGTATGCGCACAAATAATGCTATAGAGGATGGGCATTTCTGCGGCTAGACGTTTGCGATAGTTTGTTTTGAATTCTTTTCATTGCGAAGAGGTTCATCCCAGCGCTGTACGAGGTCCAAGAAATTATTTTGGAAAACCCAAAGGGACATCATTTTTAAAAGGTCTATGAAATTCATGCAGTTCATGATGTTATAATATCAAAAATTTCTTACAACGTTAATCTGAAAGTACAGCAGGAAGTGCTCATTTCTGTGAAAAAAAGGTGTATCTTCAATATATAACGCGCTGAAGTAGCAGAGGCGAGCCCGAAAAATGTTTCTTCGAGGGGAGAAGGAGAAGACGAGGAGGTGCGACAAAAAGTTGCTAAATGGATGGGCGTGGCGTTTTTCACCACCGAAGAGCAGTGGTTCTCAAAACTTGCGCTCCTTACGAAGAAGCGGCCGCCTTTCTGGAATAAACCTTCGTAAAACTCAATCGAATCTCTATACAGTTTCAACACTCTAATCATTTATAGGAAAACAGTCGGCCCTCCTCTGTCTGCCGTACGATAGATTTACGATAAGAGGTCGTGTGCAGTAACTCTCATACATTTAACACCTACATAATGTACCTCGATATTAACGTACTGGTACAGCTATAGCGAAAGGTTTGCCTCAACCAGCTGAGTATCCTTTGAGTTACTGGATTGGCGGCTGGAAAGTGGGGCTTCGTGATCAAGTTAAGGTTAGAGAATAGAGAGCACGAGCGCGAGAGAGATGCCGACTGCGTGCGGGCGCGAGCGGCATTAATTAGGTCACCAAGCCCCGCCTTCCAGCCGCCAATGCAGTTCAATCGAATGTTAACTTATTTTTAATGTGCAAGTTGTCCGCATCAAATGGTTTGATGTAATCATTTAACAGGAATTGAGAAACCATCTTCTCTAGAGAAGTTGAAAACTGCATTGGTTAATGATCTCGAAATCCATGCTAGCCTCAAGTCATTAAATCTGCTGCTTTTCCCCAGGTCTTTGTGAGATTTGTGAGACGTCGGCCAGTCTGGGTCGCGACGGTCATGAAGCTGCTAGCCGCATGTTCGTCGCAGTAGGCGCTAGTGTTTACCCTTTTAGCGTATCGTCATAGGACAAAACCTGCAGTACAAAAGCATTTAGTCGAAAACAAACACGGTGTGCTCACTTTGCAGAGACAGAGCGAATGTGAGAACCGGGTACAGTGCAGTTTTCGCGGTTTTGACGCATCCGTTTAGTCAACTACACTGCAGACTCTACAGGAAATCCTCCTGGTTTTGTTACAAAGCTTCTTTTTGTGACATGTTTGAGTTTTCGGGACCTTTTATGTAGCAAAAGATTTGCTTTCGCAAGGGCTTCCATTTCAATGTGCGAAAACTGTTTTTATTTGCAAACAATGTGTTACGATAATTACTTTTTCAACCCTTTCCTTTCCGGAGAAATATTAAATTCAAGTCCTCCTTAGCTCAGAAATGTGCTAGACTTGCTGGGTCTCATACGAATAGATGATGATTAGAGTCGTTAATTCTGGTTTCAAAAGTTAATTCTGTGGGTATTCCTGTTCTCTAAACTGTGTTTTCTACGTTTAACCTTTATTGGGAACTAGTGCCCATTTATCTATAATACTTACTTTTTTCATCAATTATAATTAGATGCAAGAAAAAGATGAAATCAGTGTGAGAAAGATCCGCAAGAAAGTGTTACAATATACATGAGTCTACCAATTGTTATGTTAGGTCGTTTTGTAATTAGCGCACGTTTCTCTTAACTCTTTTTGGAGGAGTTATGTAAAGGAGCATGATTTTTCTTCAAAACTTTTTGACATATGAAAGACTGTTTGCTCTAGTTTTTGATATGATTCGTTCTCGCTAACCTTCGAACCGGAGTTCTGTGCCTTTAAAAATGAGTGACTGAAACATAAAATTCTTCCTCTCACTTTTCTTGCTCTGAATACAAACGAAATGGTCGGATTTGTTCCAAAAAATTAACGGTTTCTGTGCTAAACGCTACCAATTGAATATTCGAAAAATTCTGAGCCGAGATTTCGGCTAAAACTTGACTGATCGCTGACGTCCATCATGCTACATAAAAATCTCAAGCTAAAAGCGATTATAACTTTTGCTCTGTTGCACTAAAGTGGACCGAAAAAGAATTCTAAAAGAGGCAATTTTTTGGATTTGTAAAAGACTGCCTTTTGGAATGCGATTTCCTGAAAAGAGTGGATACTGTTTTTTGCAAACTTGCAAAGCTGCCGTCAAATGCAGATTTACTCCATTGCTCAACAGACCGTCAGCTATATAATGAGCAAAGTTGGTGCGATCCTACCAAATTTGTGAGGCTAGAAAACATATTTTTGGGCTATAAAATTTTTCTCGGAGTGGCTACGATGCAATGAAAGCATGCGTTAAATAGCGAAAGTGTTGCTGTTTGCCATCGTTGGAAAAAAGTTGAAATTAAGAAAGCATGCAGTAATATGAGTGAATTTAGAATAAACACAGCTAGAATCTTGCGGTTCTGGGGAGCAAAAGACCTACAGGGAGAACGCCGTCTAATTTTTGGCATTCGAATTCTCTCTCGTAAATTCAGTCATAGTTGGAGGGCAGGTTCCTGAAAGAATGCAGTTTTCCTAGACTAAAGCTCCAGGATGATTCCTTGTTTCAACGAGAAACTCGATCAACCAGTTTGCTCCAGAGGAGCTCTAGCCGGCTGGGATTTTTCACTTTCAGCCGTAATCTACTGTTTTCCTTCGACTTAAGCGGGGATGACGCTATTGTAAGGCTAGAGCAGTGGCGCGGAGCAGACGGTGAAACCCGGCCGAAACTCGGCTTGATCCTCCCCCCCCCCCTTCCCCCGAGGGGTGCGTAAGCTGCTGTAGCTGGTGGTCAGGTGGCTCCGCCCACTTTCGGACACTTGAGGTGCTCGTCCCGTGCGGTGCTGATAATCCAACGTTTCTGCTTCACCCCCGACTGGACCCCCGAAAACGATCGCGGCTCACACTCTGCACTGGTATTCCGCTAGAAATCACTGTGCTAGGCGTTTTCCCAGTTTTCCCAACTGTCCAGCGGCACTTTATGCCCTTCAAAGGAGCCGCAGCTCTAGAATGATCGCCTTCTAGCGACGTATGGAGACACTGGATAAAGATATTGCTTCTAACGGGGGCTGTTATTATTTTACCACCACGGATGGCACTAGACCAAGGCTAAGCTTTGACAATGATGAAACGGCCGGTAAGCTTAGGGCGGAGCGCACTCTTGGCAACAACGATTCGATGCTGAAGCAACCGAAGCCGGATTTCTACAGCTCGTATGTTTTAGCTCGTTTTCCCGGGAAAAGTGCACCGGACTACTCTCCACGCATAATGCTTTTGAAAATTTTGCTACATTTCACTCTTTTCGCGCCCTCTTATCGAATTTTCAAATTTTCGAGAATTTTCCCGAAAGTGGATTTTGCGACTTCTAGTACTGTCTGTCCATGTTTGGTGCGCAACAGTCGCATTTGACACCTCATGTTTCGGCCCGAGTAGCGCTGTTAGTCTTCGGGATTATGCTCCCTCGAGCATAGGAAACACATTGTTGTTCAATTTCGAGCTTGTCTACTGCAAATACACTGTCTGCAACTACGGTCTTAGCCCTCCACCCATTCATTGTTTTCTTTTCAGGACTCTGGCCGACCACAAAGCATGGGATATATTCCGGCTACTGCCTCCGAAGCCGGATAAAATCGGTCATGGTAAGTTCTCTTGCCAAAACCACTATTTCCTCCGAATTTTTTTGCCAAAATTACCCCTATTGGGGATTAGTGAACTTTCTATTAGCATTAGCATTGATCGTAAGAAACGGTCACTCGCTTGCGACTGTTGACATTTGACGATCGATTCAGCTTCAGTCCTTGAAAAAGATATTGTCTTTGAGCGAGCACAGGCCATGTTGTTTCTGGTTTTCGGACGAGGAGTATAAATTTGGCTCGAGTTTTTGAGAAATCGTAACAGAAATTTCTGTTGAAAGATTCGAAATTATAAATGCTTCATTGGTTTCGTACTTTTCAAACGAACTAACCTTTTCTCACCTGGTAGAATGCTTTGATTTCTTTCGACCATTATGTTTTTCTTCGAATTACTAAGTTTTTAAGGAAATTGACATCTGAACATTTAATAGAATATCTTCAACAAAGTCACAACAGGAAGGTTTATCCTTGTCTTTAATAGCTGAAAAAAATTTCCTGTGAGTTAAAAATTGAAAGAAGATAAGACAGTTTTCAAAACTCTAAAAATCAGATTTGTTATTTTACTGTTATTGTAGATAAATTTCATGTCATAAGCTGAGTTCGTGCATAGTGATTTTTCCTCTTCTGTCGTTTTTTCCCAAATATTCTGAATGCTCATTGAAATTTACAGTTATCGTTACCGATTTTTCAAATTTTTAGGATTCTGGCACGATGCCAGCTTGCAGGTGCTTAAGTTGGCTACATTTATTGTATTATTTGTTCTTACACTCAGCTCAGCGGTTGTTGCCAAAGTGAGAATTTTCAAAAATTTACAAATTCAGCTCGTATTGGTAAATGTGTTTTTTTTGCAGAGTTCCTTCTTGCTTATGACCTCAGCGATTGGATGGGGAGGTCAAAATATGACAATATGTAGAGATAAAATACCTGGTAGGGTTTTCGACCCAGAAGCTCTATACACATTTCGAAATTGAACATTTTTTCCAGAATCGCAATTAAATACTGTATTCATTACGAATCGATTAGTAGTTAAATGGGTATGGGCAACGTTTTTGGCCCTTTCAGCGCCAGAAGCGTTCTGTTTCGTTCGATCTTTGCATAGAACTCTATTTAAAAATGTGAAGCGACCCACTCTGGTGCAGTTTGTCGTGGTAGGGCCCCTGAAGTTAGCTTTTTGTCTTTTAAGTTCCTAACTTTGTTAAATCAGGTACTTATCATCGAGACATTGCATTCGATTGGTGTAGGCATTTTGGTTTTCCGGATTTTTCCTGATCTGGATGCCGTGACAGGTACGGAGATTTTATTGTATATCGCTTATTGCTATAATTTTGATTTTCAAGATTTGTTGATTATATATAATAACCATATGTTATAGTTCGAAATAATACAAATCGATTTTTTCAAATTTATCGCTGCGATTTAGCCACCGAATTGACGAGCGCGATGTGCTTCATACCTGCGATTCTGTCGCTCCTCAGTCGTCGACCTAGTCGAATTGCTTTCCTACTGGTCATAGTAGATATCGGGGCGATTGCTGCACAAAGCTCTGGTTTCTGGGCATTTCCGGTAAACTGAAAATCCAAAAAAAAATTCTTCCAAATTTAAGAACTTTTTTAGATGTTCATTCCAAGTTTGGAAAAGCATTCGGTAGCCATACCATGGTGCTTGCTGCTTATCTCATTGGCATGGTGGCAAAATTTTGTTCACGATGATTCCGTATTTCCGCCAGTCAGGGCCTTAGCCAAGTAAGATCTATTTATTGCCAAAACTGACAAAATTATTTTTTTTGTTTTAGATTCGCGTCAAGACTCTCGGAAAGGCGTTCGAAGACCTATGCTGTCGTCTCATTGTGGAAAATTTGTATTTATTTTCTATGCATGATAGCTTTTATGACTTCCAGGTACCCTCAAGATAGCGAATGCAAAAAAACTTTTAACGAAATTTTTTAGGATGAAACTACACGATCTGCTACAACGTGACCCTTTTGGAGAGAAGCTCATTACCATAACCGGACATAACCTCAACCAGACACAAATTGACAAATTCTTAGCTAGAATGAGCAAATTTGGAGGAGCAGGTGATTGAATATTTTTGGATTTGGCGCCACTCATGAAAATTTTGATCTTGCAGATTATGATGTGGATGAAGTGACGCAATCTACCACCAAAAAACCATTTACTGAGGTAAGCCATAGAATCACAGAAGTAATCAAAATTGCAAAAAATTTTTGGATAGAACTCTCGGAATTCCCATTATCTTGTTGGGTTCAAGAGCAAATTGAAGGATTAGTGCATTTTTTCGTAGTGCTGTAGTGACACTGCACTCTTTAATTCACGAGTCCGTCCGTTCAATCAAACTTTCCAGGCCCCTCAAGTGGTTGATGCGGGAGACTATCGTGGAGCACGAGTGAGAAGGGAACAAGCGTTGGAAGATGATGACGAATTGCCTTCGGCTTTTAATGTTGGTAACTGAGTAAAAATCCTTTATTCCTCAAGAAAAACTCAAAAATTTCCTCTCAAGTTCAACTGAATGGGAAAACTGGCAAGAAACATCAAAAATTGTTTGAGATGTAATTGTCGTCATAAATAGTAGAGTATATTCATGGTTTCATGCTTTTATATCTTTGATATTCTCAAAGGCTCGAACTATTATTTTCGATTAGTTAAGCGCAATTTTTGCATTTCAAAAATTTACACATCATTATCTGTTATGGTGACACGAAAGTTCTTTGCGCCATTTCCAAAAATTTATAACTTCCGGTTTTTTCAGCCAATTTGACTACTTTTATTTCAAAAGCGTAAATCATACTCATAGTAAAATTTTATTGACTTTCTATTGAGCATTGCATACATATGTAGCATAGATAGGACGGAGGTAGAATTTTTTTTTCGATTTCTCGGTGTTAGAAAAAATTCTGAAATTTGCAATTAAAATTGGAGCAATCCCATATGCTTTATTACCCAATTTCTGTTTGTGCTGATCAAACGTTTTCATTGAAATTTACGATTTTGAGCGAACAGTACAAAACGACAAATTTGTTTTTTTGAAAATCATAACTTTTCATCGAGATTAAATTCGATCAGCACAAACTATGTTCGGTTAGGAAGGACAGGTAATAGATCTTAAAAACCAACCACTCCGGATTTCAATGCAAATGTCAGTTTTTACGAGCAAACACAGAGGAATCAAAATTTGAAAATTTTCTTTCACGGCTTCTTTCTATGCAGTAATGCTTAATAGACGATACAGCATGACTTACACTTTCAAATAAAAATTAAGGTAAGCAAATAGATTTCAAAATAAGCTATGAATTTTTTCAGAATGGTGCAATAGAACTTTGCCAGCTTAGTATTAATTTGTTTTCTTTCAATTTTTTAAGAAATACAACATATCTTTACTGAATTTTCCGTTTCTCGAATATCTTGTAAAGGGACTCTAAAGTATGCTTCGGTGACATTTTCTTGTTTTCGGAACTTTTTTTCCCACAGTTTCTGCTTTCTGGACCCTTTTCTAAACTTTATAAAATTTTGTTTGCAATCTTAATTTTTAGATTTACGACACCTATGTTGAACTCAATCAGTTTACATCTCCTTACGATGCTTTATGGATTGTACTGGTGCAAGTCTCAGCTGTGTTTCTATGCTATCATAGCAGCAAATTCGCTTGCAAGGTGAGCTCAAAATATTGGCTGAACTCCAAGATTTCATAAAAATCTGCTCTAGGTTATGATGCAACGGTTGGGATTCGCTCTCCCAATGGCGCTGGCTGTGCCAACTACCGTACTCGTTCTCTCCACCACTTGCACATTCCGGTCCACCGATTCCTGTTATATGACTAATGCGCTTACTAAGGTTTGTTTGGTTTTTTGAAATTTTGGAAATATTTGACTACTTTGGCCCTTCGCTACCCTTTAGAGGGTTTCGAATTTCGAAATTTCGACGCAAAACACGCGAGCAAACTTAATCTCGGCGCTCGATTAACATCAATAAGAGAGCCTGCTTCAAGAATAGTCCGCTGTTTTTTTACGTCCGCTGCTCTCGAAATGTGCTCACATCGCGAAGCGAAACCGGCTTCAGCATGGGCATGTGGACGTGTGTTCTGCGTATGGCTGTGTGTCGCAAAAGTGTTTTGTGTACCGAGCAGCTTTAGGTAAAAGAACTCCCGTTTAGGAGCTGTTCTGGAAATGTTTCTCGTCGTACTCGTCCTTCCGCGCATTCGTCGCCTCACCGCAAACATGGATCTGGTTAAGTTGGTTTATCAGCCAATGTTGGATCACTGTACACCTATGGAATCCGCAACATGAACGGCTGGCCAGGAGTGAGAAGTGGGTATAGCCATTTTTTGACCAAACCATCGAACTGCATTCTCAACAAATTCATTTATCCAACCTCTTTGTCTTGTCTCAAAGTCCTTCTTTGAAAATTGTTCTTGATCTCTAGCATATGTTATGCGACGGTAGTAATACAGTAATAAGAGTATTTTAAAAATCATCGCTGAGAATCTGACGTGTCATTATGGCTGTTTACCTTTGTTTTTCCATTTATGCTAAGTGCCGTTAAAACAGCATAATTGATAATGGCTATCAGAGTAGTATAATGGGTCCACAACATTCGGGAGGACTTTCATTAGATGATGAATATCACTGATCTTCAAATTTGCATATTTCTGCAGCGTACAGATTCAGCTTCTTTTTCTAACGCAAAAGTTATTTGATTTCTGGTAAAGGGTTAGTTTCCAGTGTCTAGTGTATGTGCTTGCAAACATATAGAAATTTCTCATTTCTTGGAAAAGTTGCCACTGTTTCAATTGTCTTGTTTTTCAACGTAATCCCAAGGTTATCCTACCGTGACCTTACTAACTTCAGCGATCTTTCTATAGATGTCTTCTTTCACCAGATTTATTGTGAACTTCCCATTATTCTATTGTGGCTGAAAATGGCCCGAGAAAACTTAGAAATTAATCTGAAAGACTCTTCCTTAGATTTCACACTTCCTCCTTTCTAACATTCCACTCGTTTCAAAATTCATCCGTAATAGTTGACTCAAACATTTGATTTGATGAAGTACTCTACCACTCTAGCACGTAGTACATACTTCTCGTCTCTACTACCTTTTTATCTCAAGCATTTCGTGCAACTTGTCGGTACTTCGTGGCTGTGCAAGTCCAAATTATTTCTTTGGGTTTGTCGCTCTTCAAATGAAAGGATGTGTTCTATTCTAGGATCCCAACATACAGTATTAAGACACATGCTTGCTTGATATGTGCGCCTTCGCAAAGAGACTGAGATTATCTATCTGATTTTTTGGAATTCACTGTCCAAACTATGTTACGCAAACTTTTAGTGCAGCATAAATTGCATTTAAACACTTTGTACGCTTTGGTTTTTTACCCTCTACACTACTTTTTCTGAGTTACAATACCTAGGTGCCTTACTGCAAAGAATTATAATTATCTTGTGAAGCACTGTAAAAGATGTGATGCTTTAGTGAGTGATTCAGTGGTTTGATTCGCACTCGAATTATCTTGTCAAAGCAAAATTCCTTGTCATATTAAACAAGAGTTTCGTGATGACCAAGCAACAATTTTGGTCTGTTGTATCAACTAGGTGTAGCGGATTATATTGCGATGTTCGCATAGGCGCAAAATAGATCTCTTGACTAGACTTCGAGTAAATACTCCTATGCGTTTGCTAGTCTCCTCCTCTACAAGTTTTTGAACTGGGCACACTTTAGCGAAGCTGGTCCTGCTAGTTCTCTCGTACGCTAGCTTGAATTTCACTGATGCTGAAAGCGCTGAAATTTTTTTTGACTATAGGGGATTCAAAATCCTCACTTGCAAATATTATCAGATTCATTTGATGCGTTTTTTTATTCCGGAATGCTCAAAATTTTCTATCACAAACTCGATATTCCCAAAAAATCCATAAAATTATTGCGATTTGAAAACAGAATAGCCCCTCTGCGTGGTTCAGCATCTCATGTAGACCGCTTTCGACTGTCAGCGTACCAGTTTTCGGATCGAATTTTGGTAAAAATCAGTAGATTGGTATTAATGGATTACCAGCAGTAGCCTATGTCTTCTGCATTACTCGCTGTGTAGAGCACATAGTTTCAAAATCGGTTAAGCTCACGTATTTCAGACTTTTCATCTTGCCTTACTATGTTGGAGCTTTTGTGGACCAATCGTTGGCTTTCAATCGTAGGAGAGACGACAAGGCTAAAATCAGGCCCGAGGTAGAGTAGCGTGTTTATCGTGGCTTCAGCTAACATACATTATTATTCACTTCTAGGATCTGGAGTTCGACCAAGAGGACAACTCACTCACCTACGAGACCATTCCTGGTATGGGCACAGGAGCAAAGCCGCCTCCATCAGTGTGTAGCTTGACCAGTAGCAAATTGGAGAATGGTCTCATAAGGTAATTTACTTGCATCTTGGTTCATTTATGAAATAAAACGTCTTAGAACGGTAACTGTAGTACTGTAGGGATACGGTAGGTACACGGTTCTCAGTCTCAGGATATTCAGCCAAGTGCTATGAAAAATTGCGAACGATTGCCAAAACCTCAGTTACAGTTACTACTGTATTCTTCGCGGTAGCGGCTAACTGTAGGGTTACGGTAAAGGTTGTGCTTTGAGTCAGCGATTAAGCTAAACAATATACAGGATGTCCCAAAAGTATGTATGCACTGTTTGATCGTTAATATCTTCCTTCCCAAGAAGTCTTTTGCCTTGCTTCGGGTACCGTTTTGTAGAGCTGGCTTCAACTTAGATTTACAGTATGGAGCGAATCACCGATCGTTTTTCATTACTGTAGGATTACGGTAGAAAGTTGAAACATATGGTGTCAATGTGGAAAAAGCTGCCAATCCAAAATTTTTCAAAAAAAATGTGAAAACTTGTGTAATAGGGTTCATGGACGCTGAGCCACAACACTCAACTATTCACAAGATCACGAAGCTTTCTAAACGGTGTTACCGCACTTTTTGGGAACATTGAAAAAATGGCCGCTACCTCTTACCCAGCATAACTGTTCAATGAAGCATCATAATTAGTTGGGAACTTTACAGTTAGAATCAACAACTCTAGTTAGCCTAGTGTAGAAGCTTTTCAGGCTGTTTTGTTTCCTTTCTGAGGCAAAATACGGCCTTTCATTGCTCAAAACCCTCTTTGAAGTTTCTACCGTAATTCTACAGTAATGAAGAGAGATGGGCGATTCGTTCTATACTATAAATCTAAGTTGAAGCCAGCTCTACAAAAAGGTACCTGAAGCAAGGCAAAAGGCTTCTTGGGAAGAGAGATAATTACGATCAAACAGTGCATACATACTTTTGAGACACCCTTATATGAGCGCAATGCGCATAGACAATGTTGAACTATTTACAAAAAATTTATTCATTTGCTGTTGTACTGATGCACTGTAGGCATACGGCAGGTATACGGTATCGATTCAGAGATTCGGCAAGCAGCGCGGATGCCATCACAAAAATCTATGCTTGCGCTACGATGTGGCATGAGACTACACATGAGATGACATGCATGTTGAAGAGCATCTTCCGAATGGATGAAGACCAGTGCGCTCGCCGGAATGCACAAAAATATTTGAAAGTAAGTTTCATCCCATTCTCATTACATCATTATTGATTTTATTGATTTTTACACCACATATTGGCAGGTTATCGACCCGGACTACTACGAATTTGAAGCTCATGTATTTTTCGACGACGCATTTGACGTAGATGAATTTGGTGATCCCATCATCAACAAATTTGTCCGACAATTCATCGAAGTCATCGATCAGGCAGCAAGGTGGGTAACTGGACCTTTCCCCCCCCCCCCCCCGCAAATGATTAATAATCTGCTTCAGCGCTGTGCATCAGACGCAGATGAGATTGAAACCGCCAAAGAAGGTAAAAACACCCTATGGTGGTCGGTTACAGTATATCTTACCTGGAAAGAATAAGTTGACAGTGCATCTGAAGGACAAAAATAGGATAAGACATAGGAAGAGATGGAGCCAGGTGGGTTGAGAGGACCCGAAAAAGTTCTGAGGAAAAAACTTCACGACTTTTCAGGTGATGTATCTCTACTACCTTCTTGGGTATAGACTCATGATGAAAGTAGACGAACAATCACGCAAGGTAAGGGCGGCTAACTTACTCTAGTTACTATAGCTTTGTCAGTTTTAGATAAAAATCAGCCTAAGAGAATTTTTGAACCGAAAAAAAAGAGAGTAATGTTCACAACGTACCATTTTGCAAATCCTCTCGCTTTCCTAGTCCTACGCAAAAATTCTTTGCTAGAAAGAATTCCTTGTGACGTCAGCTGCGACAACTCAAAAGTAAACAAAGACCAGTTGCAGGAAGTAATCTCCGAAAACACGTTCATCTTAACACTTGACGGTGATGTTGACTTTACCCCTCAATGTGTGCACTTACTTGTCGATTTGATGAAGAAGAATCGCCGACTTGGAGCCGCTTGCGGCCGAATCCATCCGAGAGGCTCCGGACTTATGGTAACATTTTTTGGTAATCTTAAATTAGCAGTAGTTGGTGAAGAAGATCATGTATTTAAAGGATCGGAAATTAAGTTGCTGTAACTACTGAGTTCAAACCGGGCTCGCTGATGCTCTTGAAGGATGATATGAGAATATTTTGAAAATACTGTATATATTAGGTCGTTCCGAAAGTAATGTCGCTTTTTTCAAATGAACGCCACATTTCATGGAATCAATATTTTCAGAAGGTCTTAGGAGGATTCAGCATTCCATCCTCTTTTTCATCGTTCTGATTTCATTGCATAATATTCAATGACCTCTCGAAAAGTTATCAAAATCTGCAGCTCATGCTTTTTGCCATGGTCAAGTTCGGCAATTTTTTAAAATTTTGGTACCCATTCTCCGAAGAAGTACAAGTGGCAGGTAGATAGAGCAAACTCTATAGGACATATAGTTATTTTTCTTTTCCTTAGCTTGTTTCTTAGAGTTTCTGGAATCAATTTTTCAATGCCATCAAATTTTATATTTGGTCAACTCAAACCTCACTGAACAGCAACCGACAATCAACTCGTATGTCATTCGAAGCATTTTCTCCTCTTTCTACCAGTTGTTTTTTGTCTCCGATTCATCAAGTTTTCCGGGATAAAATCATCATAATTCGGGTTTTCCAGGGCGCCCCAGGTTGTACCCGGAATTTCCAAAAGTTGCTATTTTGAAGCGATAAACGCCCATTTGCTTTGTAAAATTAGTGTCAAACCATAATCCATCTTTGCAAGTTTCAAAATCCAAAGATTTATTGGTGTTTGATGCATTTGTGTCCAAGACGAGCCTGCTAAAATTCGGCGGTTCGATCAAAAAATCTATACAAAAATTATGACGAGCTCTGGAAAGTAGAAAAAAGTTGTGCTATTTCCTGTAGGGTTTGCTCTATCCATTCATTACTTGGACTCCTTCCGAGGCTTGTTATGAAAATTTGGAAAAATTGTGAAATTTGGCCGTCTCAAAAAGCATGGGTCGCAGATTTTGATAATTTTGCAAGAGGTTATTAAGTTTTGTGCAGTGTGCAGTGGCTATAAAACCTTTAGAAAGAGAATCAAATGCTGCACCAAATACTTCCAGGATTTTTTTACACATATTCGTTCCACGAGATGTGGCGTATGTTCAAAAAAAAGCGACATTACTTTCGGAACGACCTAATTAATTGGGAAACAATCCCAAATGCTGCATAAGATCACCCAAAATTATCTTTGTTCTATTTTGAGTGACGACTCTAACACAAATTGTTATGCATAATGGCTGGGATAAGAATCTCTTTCGTTTAGGTAGGGAACCCTATAGAACATTTTAAGCACCGGAAAGGAATTTCCAGTTTCCGAAATTCAACAAAACTTTTTCAAATTCATTCTAAAGAATTTGCTTTTTTGAAGTCGCTTTGATAAACATTGAAAAATTTCGCTCCTTTCATTATCCCATTGTGTTCATTAGATATTGATCTATCTACTTTATTTCTACAAGCTTAAGGCTTAAACACAATTTTGAGCTTATTGTTAGTAAAAGCACACAAATGGAACAAAAACCAAAAAGTAGAAAAAATTGTAAAGTGGTCAAAAAACGAGTAACTGAGCATTTGATGAACAACAAAAATAAGACGCTGTCAAATAAAAGTTCTAACTAGTTTGGCCAGACCACACTGTGTCAAAAATATCTTTTCTATGCAAAAACAAACCTATGTCAAGGAGTTTCTCTTTTAGGTCTGGTACCAGAAATTCGAGTACGCAGTCGGACATTGGCTACAAAAAGCTACCGAACATATGATAGGATGTGTTATGTGCTCACCCGGTTGTTTCTCGCTGTTTAGGAGTTATGCACTTATGGATGACAACGTTACTAGGAAGTAAGTTGATTGGAACACGGGTCTAAGCACGAAATACCGTACGCTACCGAAATCAGGCAAGCAGCGCTAAATGCACCTCATCGGTTTAAACTTTTAGGCTACAATTATTCACATGAGTAATTTTCTATCTAAAAATTAGCCGTGGAGCGCCACATAGAGCGGCCGATGTGTAGAAATGGGAATGGGGAGGGGAGATACATGTAGAAGGCGTGCAAAATTCGATGGAATCAGAACCACCTTAATATTGTTATCGTCCTGGGACCCATACAGTATAAAACACTTATCTGCAACTGAAACATCACAGAAAAGCAGGTGTTTGAAATCATGTTTTGAATGATATAAGTTTTTCCATACCTGAGGGTCTTAAGCGCCGCGCTCGGTTACGGTAGATACGGTAAGTTGTGTAAAAGAGATCTCAATCGGAATTCTCCGTGAATACTCTCTTGTAAGCAAAGAAAGAAAATACTTAAACGCTGAAAATTCTCATTATTATTTTTTAGGTATGCCTCCAAATCAGTAGAACCACTTGACTACATCCAATATGATCAAGGTGAAGACAGATGGTTATGCACACTTCTGTTACAAAGAGGATATAGGTATGACGTCACTTTTGCCAAATCTGGGAAAGTAAAATACTGACCATTACAGAGTCGAGTATTGTGCTGCTTCTGATGCTTTGACATTCGCTCCAGAAGGATTCAACGAATTTTTTAACCAGAGAAGACGTTGGATCCCATCGACCATCGCAAACATCATAGATCTGCTAAAAGACTATAAAAACGTTGTACGAGTGAATGAGAGCATATCGATATGGTAAGATCGGGGTTCGTTTACCCCAAAGGCTAAATAAAATGTTTTAGGTACATCATCTACCAAACCGTGATGTTGATCTCGTCAGTTTTGGGTCCGGGAACGATTTTTCTCATGGTTGTCGGTGCCATTTCCATTTCTTTCAATATCGACACGACTTGGAGTTTGCTCATCGTATCTGTGCCCGTTGTCTCATTTTGCATAGTATGTCTCATGGCTAAACCGGAAAAACAGGTAACCCGTTTTTTGACGAATTCAACAAAGCCTCATTTTTTTATTTCTCAAAATATTTTAGCTACTCTTTGCACAAATAGTCAGTGCACTGTTCGCAATGTTGATGACGGCTGTATTTGTTGGTACATCGCTACAGATACAGAAGGATGGTATTCTCTCACCACATTCGATTTTCTTGTTTTCTGTCATGGGAAGGTTCGAATCTCTTCGTCATTAATTTGCAGAAAACTCTCTAGGGGCTTTGGAAGGGCTGAACTTTTACCATAAATTTGGGAATAAATCAGTTTGTTAGTGTTCATTAAATTATGATCATCAGCAATAGCTTGAATTGGTAGGAATGAATACCCTTTAATTCAACTGGATAGCGGCTAGAGAATGACCAGAGAGAGAGCGCTCGTGAGAGAGACGCAGACTGCGTCACAGGCGCGAGCGGTCGCCTTCAAGCCGCCAATTTCGTTAAATCAAAGGGTATGTTTGGTTTCCTTAAGGGGTAGGCCTAGCTGTGGAACGAACTTGTCCACTTCCCTTGAGCATAAAAATCTCACCGTTCTATGGGAGCTTTTCTAGAGCAACTGTTGAAATGCTAGACTTCTATCCGATTTTCTTTACATTTTCACTGTGAAGGAAAAAAAACCATATCCAATTTCGTTCCGACTCTTACTATACGGGAATCAGATTGATATACAACCTCACCCGGATCTCACGTAGTAAGGGAAGACCGTAGGGCCTAAAAATAGAAAAAGGAACTAACCTAAATCTTCCTTGGAATGTGTAATTGTACCATGATTGGAACTGCTTATCTCAAACTTGGGTAATTAAACCAAAATTGCAATATAGCTATAATCAAACCATATCTAAAGTTATGAAAATATTGGTAACATTGTTATGTTATTTTTCCTAGTTTCATCACTGCTGCCATTCTTCATCCGCTGGAATTTACCTGCATCATCCCTGGGATACTGTATTTCCTCGCCATTCCTTCCATGTATATGCTTTTGCCAATTTATTCCATATGTAACCTCAACACCGTAAGTAAAAGTTATGTATAAAAATTAAGGAAATTTTAGGGCTGATTTAGGTATCCTGGGGCACCCGAGAAGACCCGCGCCCACAGGAGAAAAATGACCTGGCGGCTAAGAGGCGAAAAAATCATCACATGGACTTGGTCGAGAATGGTGGACAAGGCGAGGTAAGTTTCAACTAACTAACTTGGGATGACTTGTAAGCTTTTAATGAGAATAAACAGTATTCCCAGGTTGATGGCGACTGGTCTCTTGGTTGTGGAAGTGCTTGTCGGCTTCTATGTTGTCTAAAACCGGATAAGATGGAGTCTTCACCGCAGGTACATACTTACTTTCACATTACAACATTCTATATACCCTTCGATTCAACTGGATTCAAAGGAGGGGCTTCGTGACCTAGTCAAAGCTAGAGAATGATCACACAGCACGCACGTGAGAGAGACGCAGTTTGCGTCACGGGCGCTAGCGGCCTTATTTAGGTCACAAAGCCCCGCCTACCAGCCACCAATCCAGTTGAATCAAAGGTTATCTCCAAAAGAAATTACAGGAAAATGTGATGCAGATTGCTGCTCTCATTACGAAATTCGCGTGCATTTTGCTAAAATTCAGAATAATTTTTTACTTCTGTATTCTTGACGCTTGAGTATTTCAAAGGTGCCATATATAGCATTTTTCAAGGTCTGGCGAATAAATGAGAAATTGGCCGAGATCAGCAGAAAGCTCGAACGAATTGAAAGGAAGCAGCAGCCAGGATTGACGCGCCGGTTTGCAAATGAAACATTTCTCACAATTAAAGTGGTGATAGATTGTTATTTGGTCATCAAATGTAAAGTAATAGGCTGACCCGACGGCCGTAAACATTTTTCCAAAAAAAATGATTGAGAAAACCTAGTGAAAGAGGTTTTTGTCCCAAAAACTTTGCTGATCTTTCTTAGCAGAAACTTCAAAAATAAATTTGAAAATGATCACCAAGTAGCTGCACTACTTATGACCAAATTATGCTCACAGAAGCTCCTCAAAATTTATCAAATTGAGGGAAAGGGAGAAAAATCACGCTTATCTGAAGTAATCAGAAACTCCCGTATCTTATCGAAAGTCCTACTTACTGTACTTACTATACTTATAATAATATTCTACTGTAATGATCAACTAGCATGCGGTACAGTATTACAGTACCATAACCGTAATGATTTCAACTGCTTTGCAGAGCATCCGTTATCTCTACGGGCAATACACCAGCCGAACACAAACATGCAGAAGTTGAGGAGGAAGAGTATCAGGTAATATTGCGAAAATCAGTGGTAGCAATATTTCCTAAAAAGCGCAGTACACAACGGGCTAGAGTTTAGGAACATTCGGACGAGCCCATGCAGAGCCCAGTGACTCATACCAGATTGACTAGGCCAAGATTTTCGTGGTTGGATGATAAAGCTTTGCGAAGGTTAGCGAAATTTTTCACAAGGTTTGATCTACGACTGTTTGCTGACTTCAGAGCCGAACTGGAAAGCATCGACCCTGACGAGGAGCATTTTTGGTTGGACGTTATCGATAAATACCTTTCGCCACTGACTTTGGACCCCAAGGAACAGGAGCGAGTGCGAGCTGCTTTGATTGAGCTTAGGAACAAGGTAGATAGCCCCACAATTTAAAGTCCCTCCCCCTTTCCTTTCCATTCTCTGGTAATCTTATCCGTTTAGGTTGTCTCCACCTTCTTCATGGTCAATGTCGTGTTCATCATTATCATTTTGGTTCTACAACTCCAAAAAGATTGTCTTCACATTGAATGGCCCATTGGGCCGAAATATAATCATACAGTACGACCTTGTCATGGTGATACTAAGGAGGTAAACCCTTTTTTCCCGCTTATTAGTTTCATAATCACGCTAAGTTATTCCTTTTAGGAGATTTGGGTGGTTACTCGGCTACAGCTTGAACCGCTTGGACTGGTATTTTTGATCTTCTTCATGAGTATTCTTATTATACAGGTAGTTTTTTACGGTTATAGACAATATGCGGGCAGAATCTGAGGCCAGAGGATGCACGATTTTTGTGCTAAAAACCCCTTTTCCTTTTTCGAATTAGGGACGCAGATGTGCTCAAGCGAAACGCCAAGTGTATAAGCCGCTTCGAAAATTTGGATGACTCCGCCTACTGAAAAAGCTCCGCTCACTCACCATCAGCAACTAGAAAATGCGCCAAAATTGTTGTTTACAGTACCTTATAGGAAATGAGACACCGCGTGGTTTGGAGAGATTCTCAGATGATACAGAAGTCGCGTTAGACATTTTTTTTGGTTTTCAAAGCCCTTAGCCAAGTTCAAATAACCCAAAAATGGTCAAACACCCGGATCAAAATTTCTCCAGGATGCTGCGTATAGTACAAGACAGGATATAACTTGAAGGGTGAATTTTTTAGTTCTTCGCAATGCTTTGTCATCGATTCGGTACTTTGGCACACATCATAGCCTCTACGGAATTGTTTTGCTTCCGAAAAACCATAGGAAAGTTGAGCGAAGATGAGCTTGTTGTTCAAAATGCAGTGGAAATAGCTAGAGAATTGCAAGCGATCCGAGGTGTCGACGAGTCACGGGATGATGGACAGGCAAGTAGTCCGTGAAAAGATTGCTAAGTCAAAAAACATACTGGAATTTTTTTAGGGAGAACAAATCGGTCGCCGACGGGTGGTGCAAAACTTGGAATCGTCGCGTCTTTCTCTGATGAAACGAAAAACAGAAACGCTTGATGCAGCATTCAAGAAAAGGTTTTTAACTAGCAGTTTACAAAAACTTAGCTGGAATTTTATTCTTTTCAGATTCTTCGCTTTATCCAGCGAGGTTCAAGAACCAGGGCTTTCTTCAAGAGGCAGTGGGCGTCGCGTTACCTTGACCAAAGGAACCATTCGTGCTTTAGAAAATAGAAGAGACTCCTTGTTTGGCACAATGGAGAAGAAGGATCAAGTGAGTCGTAGTCAAGTAGCTAAAGCTGATGTGTGCACTCGCACAACACTTGCATTTACCGTAAGCCTAAACTTTTCCATTGCAAGTGTCTATGATAAAATATGGATCCAGTTGTTTAGAACACATTTCACATAAAGAATCATCAAATGAACCTTCAACAAACTAATCATTGATAAACGGTGGCATAGCAAGTGAATTAGAAGAAATATCATCTATGAGCTGCACAGTGTGCATTTGCACCAAATATATTTTAGTTTCGCGACTGTGTCTATACCTTTGATAGTTTTTTGAATGGTTTTATTTCAGCCTCCTTTCAATTTTGACCAAGAATCTCCGAATGCCGAAAACAGAGGTCCAGCTCAGCGAAGACTTGAAAGGCTCTTCAACAATCCGGCAGATATCAATCGGACCGAATCTGGAAATCGGAGGTACTCAAAAAAACATTGTCCCAAGCACTTTTTCTAGAAAAACATTTAATCCTGAATTTTTCGTAATTTGCAGACTCGCGCTAGCCTCCTCATTTTGAAAATTTTATCTGCTGCTGCTTTTCTGAAAACGGAAAATTTTGAAAAAAAAGAGTGTGGATCGCTTGTATGTAACCTTCGATTCAACTTGCTTGGCTGCTGGAAGGCGGGGCTTTGTGACCTAATTAAGGCCGCTCGCGCCCGCTGCGCAGTCTGCGTCTCTCCCGCGCGTGTGCTCTCTGATCATTACCTAGCCTTAGTTAGGTCACGAAGCCCCGCCTTCCAGCCGCCAAGCCAGTTGAATCAAAGGGTATTTACTTCGTGATATTTTGAGGGAGTTAGTTTTTGTAAGAGAAAGCAGTCCATGATAGTGATGGAAGTGCGCCTCAGAAAACTAGAGGTGTACTGTATTACTTACTTATATATTTTTTGATTATCATATGGAAGAAAAATGGAAAACATTTTGACAAAAGTTTGGTATACAAAAGCTCTTGTCTTGTGGATCATGTGGTAATTTCAGAGTACAAGATATTGTGGGGGCTAGAATCTAGGTATCAGTATTTCAAACACTCTTTTTTTCGGGGGCGGGGGGGGGGGGGGGAAGAGGGTGAATCTTCAACGTAAAATAGTTGTGTTCTTTCTTTTTTCATTTCTTTATTCTTTGCCCTTTTTGTTGAGGTCTGCATGACTTTTGCGGTTTTTACCTTTTGCTTGAATACTGACAATCTTTACATGGGATAAAAATTCTATTTTTCAGACCAGTGCAACAAATATGGCCAGAGAAGAACGAAACAGATGCGCGGCGATTCTAATGTTTGCCTTGTCACTGACACATCTCCTATAGCTATTAAAATGGAATTTGGCTTTCAATCCGACGTGTAACTCGTCTTTCATCCTCTACAATCTCATTCACTGTGGTATTCGCGCACAAGTCTTTCATCAATGAGCTCATTCTTATCGACATATCTAGATCGCTATTGATTGGTGCTTTATTGTGCTGTGTAAAATTTATATGCTATAATAAATGAAGTACCATATGGTACAGTGTACTTTATATATTTATTGTACTTACGGTGACGTTGAAGGAATGAAGCGTTCGTCCGAGATGATTTGAGATAATATTGCGGAAAAGGCGGGAATTCAAGCATTGCAGAGAATGTTTTGGACATTTACGAATACAATTTGAAAATCAAATTGATGTCTTAACAATCTATATGTAAAAAATCGTTGTCGTTGAATGTAAAGAATCGCTGAATTGATTGTGCCTACGTAAAAAGGTGAATTTGCGAGAAACCGCGGGTCCCGCAGCGAACGCCTGCAAATTTTGCGCCTTTACGATTACTGGTTCATTAGTTGGGAAGATGATATCAAAAAATGTGTTTGAAAAACGGTGCGATCTTATAAAAAAAGCTTATTTTGAAAAATTTTCGCAACTTCTCCAACTTTATGTCCATTGAGTTACCGTAATATGACGAGCTCCTAATCGATATATTGATTTTTCTGATCTGCATTGCTAGTCGTGTTTCATCTGTCTACTTATCCGACAGTAGCTGGGGTTCAAAGGGTCAAAGCCGACTTCTTCCTGATTTCAAAGATTCATTGTCTCCCCTTAAGAGCCTTAATTTGAGTTGAGGTGCCGTAATCAAGGCCGGCAGGTTCCAATCGATATATCGATTTTCTTACTTTGTTTTGACTATGGTCTGCATTTTTTGACGACAACACAAATCTTACTTTGTTTGATTATAACGACAGTTCCCTCTCCCTCCTAAAAAAGCTATGCCCCGCCTTTGCCCCTCCTTCCTACCCCCCCCCCTCCCAGCGAAAAAACGAATCCCCATCTGGCCCACGGCTGAGTCCTGAGTTTGCGGTCGATGTCTGTGTGTGTATGTGTGTCTGTCTGTTGTGACCTGATGATTTGCACGGCTTCGAGTTTCCGAAACAAAGGCGCTTGTAAACGCGATGCCGTAAATCAGATCGAGCGTCGAGCTGGGACCATTTATTGCCCCAGCTCGCACATCCAGACGAACAGCCATCGCCAATGGCGAGCCCGCGTCGAATGCTCGGCTAGCTCTTCTGCACTTGTCATGTCCACTAGCTACTTTAGACAATTTTAGTCACATCTTCAAACTTTGATGTGATTATTGTGTAGTTTCCGCTAAAATTTGTCTACGGAGCCCTTACGCAAAACTGTTCGCTGTTTGTCCAACCACATTTTTTATAGTGTTTGATCATTATAAGTGTATTTCGACTCATTATTCGATGGTTTTATATGTGATAGCATTTAACTGCTCGCTTTGTAGTTGCACGAATTTTTTATCGCAGTGACGGGAAGGTGATATGAAAGCCTGAAGCCTAATTTTCTTATTTTGTTCGGAATTTTTGTGGCATTCCTCGTCGTTTTATGCTGAATCTTCAACTACGAATGGTAAACGATGCTACCAATTTACTCTACTGCAGACTTCGAAAAGTTAAATTACATATTGTTTCCGTTTGTCTGTCTCCTACTAAATACTTCAAGGTAGTAAATAGTATTGCTGATCCAAATTATGCATGCCCCTCGAACAAATTTTGGGACTGAAGCTTTCTAGACCAAGCAACCCCAAGAAGCGTGCCTAAACCTGGAATTGAGACGCTGTTAGTTTCAAATTTATCTTTAACCAAATCACAAAGAATCGTACGTGCTAAAGTAATCTACCGTAATCCACCTTTGCCACAGCTACCTGACGTACATAAAGATTGAAGCTCTGGCGAGTGTAGTCGTATTGAAAATATACGCATCTGTCAGATACTTCTCTTCATCCATTCCGCCGTAGATTATATTTCATAACTTTCAAGCACAATCTCAAGAATTCCTGAACATGGTATTATTGTTATACTTTCTTAACAGAGACTCGAACAAGAAGGACGGCTAATCCCTAATTCCGTAGTTGCACTTAGTGCGAGTAGATCGTGACTATTTAGTATGAGTCAAAAAGTAGCTATGTCTAAGTCAAACTACCTCGATTGTTTTAATACAGCAGTGCCATAGCTGTAAATCCTCATGCATTTCTGCTTCATTTCTTCTCAAGCGCACAGTCAATTTGATCCAAATCGGTAACCTGCAAGTATAGTCTTTTTGTGGTCTTATGTTATACCTTCAACCACTTTTGTGTGCGTATTAGACGTTTTTTTTTTGATTGCTAACATTTCCAAATGTCTTCAGGCTTTCAATTTTTCACGAATCATCTGTCTTTCTTCATTCTTGTAAACTTTCGGGTAATTTCCGTAATTTTCATATGCGCTTTCTGTTCTTCTTGAGCACACTGAGATCCATGAGCACAGTAACTGTACCGTATTAGAAATTATAGTAGAGGTATCTTTTAGGGAGTTACCGTAAATCCACCGCTAATTGATAATTCCTTCTTTTACCCAATGACGGAATTTTGTGATATAATACAATGCCGTAAATTTTCTGTGATTACATACATCATCGAATCTTGAGGTGAAGAATTGCTTGAACAGGCTAATTGCTTTCTAGCTCAAGCTATATCGAAGTTTGCAGCGCGCATCTTGAGCAATTACTTCCCTGATAGCGAAACCTTGTAATCTTAACCCTACCTAATCTAGATTTTGACTCACCATTTGCTGGTTATGGCCCTCTCCGAATTTTAATTACGCAAGAACATGAGAAGCCAAGAATAATCTTGCTCTTTCATAATTCATGTATTAGCAATAAGTACCTTGTTTATCTGTAGCTAGGTGTAAAAATTTCAGACATTCCAAATTCTGAACATTGCAAAGCCAATGCCCATAGAGCACTCCAGTAAGTGCGCGTAGTTCAACGCTTTGTCATAAATAGAAATGATGAAATCTAGATAACGGGGCTCACTCATGCGTCGGGTTATTAATGTCTTCTGTCAGCATGATACTCATGGCAGAGCTTTGCGATCTGCGACGGATAAGGAGAGGAAAACAAATGACCATTAGATGATGTGATTCAAAAGCATTCCCCTTGTGCAATTGTATACTAGTTTAGAAAAGTTACTTGCAGCAGTCATATTACTTTCTAATATCAGGATAAATATTTTTTAAATTTTCTTTCAAACTTACCCTCAGACAGAATTTTTGAGTTCCCTCCAATCGCTTCTAAGAAACTTTATTCTCATTTATACTTCTGAAGCAAATAAAGAACTGCAATTTTACAGCTTCTCAAAAGTCAGCTCGTCTGCACTTTTGTGCACTTGAATTTATGAGACACTCTATTGTCCAACTGAGCAATCAGACACATCTGGGGCAATAAATAAGAAAAAAAGAAATCGGAACCACATTTGATGGTGATTTACAGCCATTGGATAAGTCATTGTAAAAACCTTGTGAGAGGGTTTTAGGCGCAGAAAAATGTTACTATGTTGCCTCATCTTAATCAAAACAACACTTGAGCTCCTATCCGATTGTGAAAAACATTTTGAACGCTACCGATTTATTCTGAAAAGAACTGTTCAAAAAATCACTTCAGAAATCACAGCGTATAGCTCGCAAACTATGCACAACTACTTCTGCAATAGCTTTATGGGACTTTTTTTCACTTGAAAATTCAACTAAGACTACAAGAGACAACATGGAAATGTTGAGATGCAGATTTATAAAAGTGATTCATATCAGATATGACCATGCGTTTTGAAGTCAAACAGACCAAGCAATTATTTTACTGGCACAAAGAACTTTACTTCTGCATTTTGACTTCTTCTATTATGCCCCTAATGCTTTTTGCTTCATTGCTATGCTTTCTTCATCAGTCCTGTTTTTCTCTCTCTCTCTCTCTCTTTTCCACTCCTTCTTTTGCTCCGTTGCCCTGTCGGACTAGTACCTTGGCATTATGCCAAAAATCTGAATCAGGAAGTGATGAAAGATTGAATCTTTGCACTGTAAAAATGCAAAAAATTAACTCATCTCTGGAAAAACCTCAACTTTAGCCCCTTGAAGCACTTCCACCTGTTGCACTATGCCCACTTGAAGTGTTCATCCATCTGGACCAAATCTCTTCTGTCATCCCCAAAGTATTCTCGATTTTTGCAAAAGGATCGCGGTTGTAGCAGATCGTTCAATGGCAGCTTCGTTCTGGCCCGACATCTATCATTTGACAAATTACTGTAGTCGTGCGAGCGCGTGCCGCACGTTTTTCTCACCCGGCCGTCGGCCGCAGCGGCTCCGCCACTCGTCAGCTGCCACCCGCGTTACCGTAATCTGAGCGTAGCGTTTGGGGACTCGCCTCGTTATTATTGAGCTTGATGAGTCATTTTCATTGAAAATCGTCACTCCTCCCGACCCTAAACGCCAATTAGCGCTTCCCCTCCCCCTTGTTCAAAGATCCATCAAAATTCCTAAAATCAACTTCAAGAATTGGCTGTAGTTCCGCTTTCTACGTCTTCTGGGACCAAAGAGTAATAGAAATGTTGCGTTTCGCCCACCTCCATATTTATTAATCCTTTAATATTTTCTCTGTCTATGAATAAACATGATTCAACTTTGTTTTTATTTTTTCGAAAGCCATATTCAGATCTTCGACTCGCGAGGTGCTGTGCACGTCCACGATCCCTTTCTCAAAAGAACGAGACCTTAGCTAGCTGCTTGCGGAGTGTCTACGATGATTTAGTAACACTGAAATGCGATACAGAACGTTGTTACTACTTTGTCTAGTGCTCATACAACAATGCACGAGCATACACTGGTTGTGAGTCTTTTTTCTACCTATATGAACTTCTAGCGAATGTTTATCTAAGTGAGATTGTAATTTAACAAACTGAGGTCAAAAAATCCATTGTGACACTTACAATACTAAGTTGCCAGTCTTTTCCGAAGTTTGACTCTTTGAATCTTCATAGTAGGAGCTTAACCAAATGCGAAAAGTAAACCCATGGAATTGACTATGAAGAGAAATATCGAGCACTGAGTAAGATAGCTGGAAGTGATCATATTTAGAGCCCTCGGTCTAGCTGGCAACCGTCTTGACCGTTCACGAATCGCCTACTCGTGCAAGAATCTCAAAGGGCTTACCAAGAAGCAAATAAGGTGAGTCCATGGGTTCGATCCGTACTCTTATTCAGTTTCATTGTTAAGACATGGAAATCGGATAATTTATGCTGAAAGAATTATTTTATTGGCATATTACTCGTTATAAGAGTTTTTCAGTTTGATGTTGAAAAAGCCCTGTAATAGTATTAACGAAATGGAAGAGTAGCTTTGTCACCAAAGTTGATGTTACCCAGATTTTTTCTTAATTTTGTACTATCCATCGTTTTGATGGCAAAGCTTCGGCCCAACGTGCCAAAGGCTTTTGAAAAAACCTTTTTTTCCCTTTATGGGTGTTTTCGAGCAATTGCTTCCCTATTTTTTGGGTAATATTAGTGTGCAGCTAGTGTCATAGTTGCACATACTTTGAAACAAAATTGCAAATTTCAAAGCAATAATGAGTAAGCTTTGTTGACAAATTCAGTATCAGAAGCTAGTTTTTCTCAGACAGAATCATAGCATCTTGAGGGCAATACAATGACACAAATAGTTAGAGTTCAATAATGACACTGTAACACTTACTGCTGATTTTGTTGATTAACGCGATATTACACATTACGACTGTGGAGAAATAACTATTAGTCTAGAGTAGCAAAATGAAATTCACAAAATTTTGACAATCTATCTGCCTATTTATCGAAGCCTACTTAAAAAAAAATAAACATCTCTACTGTTGACTAGAGCTGGACCTTTGGAGATCTCGGTTCAGTAACAGTACACACTTGCATGGGGACTCTGTTTTTCAGCAATAAATTCTAAAGATGTCTACCAACATTAGGGTATTTGGTGATTAAAGTACCTTGTGTCTCTCGTGAAATATAACTACTGGTAGAAACCGTAAATTCGTCCAATTGTTGTAATCTGCAGCAAGACGTTTTTTTAGGTTGCTCACAATATAGTAATAGCTCAGGATCTCATTATCGAAGTTTGAGAATGACTAGGGATTCAACACAACGCTCTTTTTGAGCATAATCTCAAGCATTTTTTTCTGCAGATTTTGCCGGAAGAATCCCGACATGATGGACAGCGTGCGGTACGGAGCTCAAAATGCTTATGCTGAATGCCAGTACCAATTCAATAAAAGAAGGTTAGTACCCGGCTTCCAGAACCTCTCCCCCCTCCCTCTTTCCCAAATAAATTTTATTCAGGTGGAATTGCACGCTCATCGATCCTGTCACATTAGAGCTGATCAGCGATGTGATCATGCGCGAAGGCACGAGAGAGTCGGCTTTTGTTCACGCTGTTTCAGCTGCCGGGGTGGCCTACAGGTGTAGTGGAGGAACTCATCAATTTTTTCGAATAGTCAGCGATTGGTGATGTTCTCAGGGTGACACGCGATTGTGCCCGAGGGCTGAACGAGCGATGCGGATGCGATCAATCGATGCTTTCGCTGGATCCACAGGTGCGATACACTGACGGGATCAGGGGAGGGTGCAGAATAAGGGGTTGCATCAAGGGCTATTCTCAGAAATTCCCAATCTAGGTGCGCAGCTACGATTACCAAGGTTGCTCGGACAATGTTCAGTACGGTATAGCCATATCGCGCGAGTTCGTCGATGCTGCCGAGCGCGGCAAAAACGCTTCGAATCGAGCAATTTTGAATCTGCACAACAATAGAGCAGGAAGACAGGTGAGTTATTAGGGAGAATGTTCTTTAGTACTTACATGTTTAATTTACGAACGAGGAAAATTTCTTGGTAACATGTGCTTTTGCCACTGATAAACCTGCGCATTTTTTGACCATTCTGCACGCATTGACGTAGTACGAGTTCAACGTTTTCTGCCTAGAAGGCATGAAAAACGAAGTAAAAAGTCTGAAAGTTGCACATAAGTTTTTGTCCGCGAGGCCTGATCATTACGATCGTGGATGTGGCCGTCGAGTTTCCAGAAACCTCACCTAAAAGGCCACATGCGGAGGCATGTTAGAGCAAATTGAGAGCAATGAAAAGCACTGAATGAATAATAATGATTAGCATAAAAGCCAACCCTTTGTAAAATATCAAATTACTATAACGCAAGAATTTCTTCTTCTAACGATATCAGACTGTTCCTTCAATATCATGTCCCAAAAGCTTTTGTCTGTTCTTTGATCGGCCACTAAAATTCACATAAAACAAATCGACCAACTTAAGTTCATTCAATTCAAGCTTTTGTACTCCTTCTGATAGCTACACTTTCTTTGTGATCTATGCAGTCTTTGCGGGTCATCGCCATTTCTCTTTGAGCAGCTCTACAATGACGCCAACGAATCCTCATGTTTTGAATAGTATCCCAATATTCTCGAAAAAACGTACAGTATCTATTATGCAGAGTAAATCTTTTATTACATTATATTAGACTGAATTCAGATTACATTGAGCAAGTTTTTGAATTCATATTAGCGGTTTAATTTTAAGAAACCCAGCTTTTGCATGCATAACAGATACGTAGGAGAACCGAAAATTACAAAAAAGCCAGTTCTTTTGAGACAGACAAACAAACTCCTTCATTCTGCAGAAATGATGCTCAATAACAATCAAGCCTAAAGTCGCAGAAACTTCGGAAGCTTTCATGTTATTGCTGCAGTTGTGTGCTCCATGACTTTGCCAAAAATCGAGATTACCAAGGAAATTTAAAAGTTGCAGATCAGAAGTAGAAGCACTGTTGTATATTCCAAGATTTGTTTTATTTGCCACGCATTTTACTCCGAATGTTTTGATTAAAAATTTTTAAAATTTGCCAAACTGTGAAAGATAGAAATGACGGGTGAAGAATTTGGGCAGGTATGAAAAAGCGTTGGGAAAATTATGGTTTGTAAATGCAAGCACCAGAAGGAAAAAGTGAATGCATCGAAGCATATTGAATCGCATCTAGATTATTATTGAGCAAGTACATCCTAATATTTTATAAGTCAATGCTTAAAATTTGCCATTTTTAAGTGGTTGATTGAGCGATTATCCTCGCCAACAAATCGTTAAAGTGTTATGGATAAGTAGTACTAAGCTATCGTACCTTGCCTATATAACTCGCTGCTGTCATGCTCCAAGCTGCAGAGAATAAAATAAAGCCTTATTTGCACCATTATATTGAAATGCCCATTCGCGCGAAGAATCCAGAAATTTCCACTTACATATTTTTCAAACATGAAGTAAAAATTTAGTGAAATTGTTGGAATCATGTAAAACCTTCACCAAATTTTCTCCACCGAATCTGGGCTGCGGTGTAGTCGGAGATATCACCCTTCTAATCCAATCTATGCTTCGAGAATTTCTTGCGAGCAGCAATTCAGGCAAAAATCAGAAATCAAGTCATACTTCATTTAAGAGAGGAAAGAATTGGAATAAAATAGTCGTTCATGTAATTTTCATCATCAATTTGTAATATTTACTATTCCATTAGGCACTAAAGCTGAGTGTAAAAGAAATTCTAGAATAATCTTGCAAGTGCCATTGTCTCTTTCCGCTCCTCTCTACGCTTCCTAGCTTTTGCTCAGCTTCAGTTCCCCGTCTTTCCCTTCGACCAGATGTTTTTTCCATCTTGCCACTAAATGTGCTGGGTTCAATTTCGCGCTAGAATAATCCGCCCTGTTTGCTCTTTACCCTAACACCAAGCGCTAAAATGGCTTCGGCTTACGTGATAAGGAAAGAATTTGTGACGCAGTCGCTGAGCGTGCTATGAAGATCGCAGGTAGCGGAAAACGCCTTATCAACATTCTGACGTTCGAAGTGTGCTGCTGCAGAAAATAAATTGCCAAAAACAAAACGTGCTTTGCAAAGTGCTTAGTCAAGTTTTTGTAGAAAAATTGAACAAACTTTCCTCTGGTATAGTGGAGAAAATTTGGCCAATGTGGCCAGAATATTTGTCCGCGGCGCTCTTTTGAAGCCAGCAAGATGATAAATATGTAAAGAGGTTGAATGCCCTCCTTTTTTGTATTTTGCTAAGCCGGCTGTAATCTGGATTTGTAATACGAACCAAATCGATTTTTCACCGTTACTTCAGCATTACGGTAAAATTTTGAAGGATTTCGAGCCAGTGAAAGCCAAGTTTTGCCTAAGAAAAGCTTCAAAAACACGGAAGTGTTATTTCTTAGGTCAATCACAGCTCCAGAAATCAAAAATGTAATTGCCCTTATTGTATAACCAGTGCGTCACCTCTGCTTCGCAGAGGCTCGCACTGGCTCTACTATCTATGTGCCTTACTCATTCTCGTAAAATCGTGGCATTGGAACTCACCGCGCTATGCCGACTACCATGAATAAAATGTAAACAGTCACTCATTTAGAAAGTTTTTTCATGTGAGATCGGTGATTTCGCGTGGATGAAACTTTTCGCAGGAAGACAAACGCAAATTTGAATATGTCATGGCTTGGTAGTCGCCATAGAGGTAATAGTAGCCGTGAGCTACATCCCTGTGCGAAAATCTTCTTAAACGCCTAGCTAGAACCTTGGCAAATTGACCATTTACACAACCAATTCTTTTTGGCGCCGTTTTCGTTATGTAGTAAACTTTCGACCATTTCTCGGGCTAAGCTCCATCGCTTGCACATTTGCTTACCAAACTCATCCACGACTCTGCAAAAAGTGGTGATACGGACCGAATTTTGCGGTACAGAAGCCAGGTGGACCCGTTTGGCGCGCAATTTCTGAGGGATCCACTCAACGAATTTACTCATGCTTTTGCATGTTGGACTTTCATGAAGGTAGCATGCGCTATGCAAAATTTGGGCTTAGAACGCTGGCGGGAACACGCTCCACGAATTTCGTAACAGACACACTCTCACACACACACACAGACAGACACACACACAAAGTCACGTAAACATCCTTAGCCCGTTATTATAAGTTATGATGCTTCGAAATTTGAAAGTCACGGAATCCCACCATAACAACAGGAATGGTAGTAATTTGGTCGAAACCAACAAATGATGTGATAGTTCAATCATGGTTACATCGTGGTAAGCATGATCATCTTTTCACCGCCACTCAGTTCAATCGGTCATACAAAATCATGAAACAAGCAAGTAACTAGCAGAAAACCATAACTGTTTCATGCTTGTTTCATTCTAAACCAAACTATGAGTTAAACAGCAGGTTAACACCATTGTTCCCTTATCAGATAGAGTAATAAAAACAGCACTTCATTTCATGAGACGCAGACGTGAAACCACCACATCATAGTTTAAAATGAAAAAGTACCCCCGACCACTTTTTCGTTTCAAACAATGATGTGTTGGTTTTGCAAGTTAAGAAGAGTGAGGGAGATCATTCTGCAACTTACTATGAGAAAGCTTACTTGTTTACAGTTTAGATAAGGTTATAGGAAGGTGCAAGGCTGGAGACCGAACTGCAAATTTGGTAAAGTGCAATGATTGCCGACAAGCATGAGAATGGTTGGAGTTTCGATCTTCTCCAATGACTTTGCTTTGCAAGATAGCATTTCGAGGTTCCCCATTGGTTAATTCGTGGTTTCGTTGGGAAAATGATGTGAAGCTGCTGGTTAGCTGGTGTCATGAAAACACAGTTAACATGATGGTTTCGACCAAATTACTACCACTCCAGATATTTCATCAATTTTCGATAAATAGAGTCATGCAATTCAACATTGTCATTTGACCTAACTTTTGAACACAGGTTCAGGGAAGGAAGCAAATCTCAATTTTGTAATTTGATTCCTCGTTCTTCAGACAAGAGGTTTGTTTCTAATTCTTTAAGGCAATCTGGCAAGTGTACATAATTTTGAGCGCCCCATAATTGCCTACTCGGCTTATTTTACCGAAGATGCATATTACTGCACATTTTCGTTAAAAAAATAATTCGCCAGTGAACAGAATTGAAATCCGACAGTTATTTCACTGCAAGTCGACATAGTGCGCGATTATACACTTTGAATGTCATTTTAATCTCCATTCCCTGATAGTTATGGACGTTTGCCAACATTTTTTTCAGATCATGGACAACAAGTTTCAATGTTTACTGTGGTTTTAAGAATAAGCAATACATGCTTTTACTTTTTTCACAAAAACCCATTTTCGTAAGCTGTGTTGCCAGTGGCGTTTACCATATCTGCAACTCCCTTGAATTGGTAGTATTGTCTCATTTTTTTGACGTTTTGAATCAGAACGTGAGCAGATCAAATTAACATAGCGAAAGAATATGTCTCTTATTTGACCGTTCAGTAATGTTGTAAAAAATACTAGAATAGTGGCCTCTTCAATTTCGTTGAGAGGGAAGAGTCTTATCAACTCATTTTAGTGATGTCATAATCGAATTTATTTCCTCTTTTTCGAATATGTCAATATTTGGGAACATTTATTGTATCACTGGCTACCGTAAGAAAAAAAGGGTACCTCAATAATGGAAAAATCAAAGTAGAAGTTAAAGTACGAATGCTTCCTTAGCAAAATCGCAAAATCAGCTATTTTTTTATTGAAGATAGAAAATATTGTATCGTGTAGCGTCCAAAAAAAATAATGTATCACGTCTACAAGACTTCGTAAGGAATCCAACTTTTATGTAGTCTGAAATATACCATTCTTTATAACGACGGATTGCTTTAGGTGGTGTATGCTTACTGGTCTTTGGAGTAAATTTTGTAAGAAATGTAAGTTGTTGGAACCTTTGTGATCTAATATGAAGTACTCTCTCAGTTGTG